CTTGGGCTTGAAGGGCAAGCAGAAATGGCACGCAATCAAAATGTTTGCTCCCTGCAATCTGGCTCTACATAAAGCACTGGCCAGAGTCCACACACTTCTATGTTCCTTTCAGTACTATTTTTGAATGTGAACTGAAGAAGGGGCTGAGCCACGGGGAAGAATGTTGAGAGTAAATCAAAGGCATACTTCTACCTCCTGAATGGAACATTCCAAACTCTTGTTGGCTTCCAGTGCAGAGTGCTCAAACTCCAGGCTACTTGCTGCTCATAGGAAAGAGCGCAAGGCCCAAAGCCATTCACCTACAAGAAAGAGTATGACGCAATGGATCATCCCATGCTGGATGCAGACACACAGAAACGGGACATCCCCACACTATAAACCAAGATGAAGTGGAAGCTTATTGTTTAAGCAGTTGGATGAAAACTCAGGTGTAGGTCAAGCTCAAGAGAAGCCTTCACCACATTTGGAGAGACCATCACATTCCCCAGAAGCTGACGGCTACCCGACAGAAGAACTCTTTGGGCCTCTGCACCAGTAGCACTCTTTGTGGAGAGTAACGGTACCTCAATGATTAAATCTCATCACATCTTTTATCAGTTACGCTGCACACCTGGCAAACTCTTCATAGAAGGTAAAGAAGCACTTGTCTGAAGTGGGGTGTTATTATTAGAAGAGAAGGCTAATTTTGCGCATCATTCTAGAAACTCTTACCTTGAAAAGACTGCTGGGCTCTATCCACTAGTTCATCAATCGGGTAACTGGCCAGGGTCCCTCTGGCGTGCTTAGTTTTGCAGTAGGTACAAGCATTGAGACACCTGTTCAAAGGAGAGCAATAAATAAGTCTCACCTATTTAGAGGCTGTGCACCTTTAGGAAAAAAGAAATCATACACTAAAATGCTGTTTTCGTTAGTGCTACTCTCATTTCTGTTCTTGAGGGGTTTACCTGACCTGGATTCCAGGAACTGGTCTCTCATGATAACATGGCCAAAATGTTCCAAAAAAGCCAATAAGGATAAATATTACATTAATAATTCAAAATACTCTTTACTAAATTGCTCCCCTGGGGTTAATTAGGACTACCACTGTAATGTACACATACACTCGGGGGTAGGGGGGGGAGGAGGGGGCAGTGTGCTTCAAAACTTTCATGGACACGTGGAAAGGTAATGGGATTTTTCCATTAACCTTTCAGATTCCTGACAATCCATGATATCAAAATGGATTGCTCACATTTTATAGAGTGTGTTCCTTCATGCATGTGATAACTACCAACTCCAACATTAGATCTGCTCTCTTAACTTTTACAAGGGAGGCCAAATAAACAAATAAATAATTTTTAAAAGGGAGACAGATTTGTTACAACCCACGGAAGTGGAAAAAGAGACGATGCAAAAGAGAATGAGTTCTTTGATACCATTTGGTTTAAAAACAGCTTTTCATTCCACCAGAAATTAGTGTTTCCCAACCACCTAGACATGACAAGGCTCCCATAAAATTGAGAAATTCCTAATAGGAACCTTTAGTCGATAGTTTCGGTTATCATCAAACAATTAAATAATTGTCTTGGAATAAGAACACTGAGCCAGTTTCTTCAACGGTCGCAGAACAAAAGATCTTTGAAGGTTAACTGGGGAAAGCAGCAGTCGAAAAGAGACTTCTATTGGTGGGATGGAAAAGCAAATTCCCGAACAGACTCAGGATGTTTCCATGGGAAGATAATAGGAACATGCCACACCTACTAATCTTTGCACAGGTTGCTTGAGATGTGGCCGCAGGCCAAACATTAACTCAAAATCGCAAAGAAAAGATATGACACATTTAACTGAGCAGTAAATCTCTGAAGTTTCAAAGTCCATCCGTGGTAAAATATATATAACTTGCACAGAAGACATGAGAGTGAGATAGCAATAAATTTTCAAAATTTAAAAACTTCAGTCTTTAATGTGTAGCAATCTACCAATCTAATACCATGAAACACCCAAACCAAAAACCATCCTCATTGCCATCAAATAGATTCCAACTGGTAGAGAGCCCGGGGCAGCCCTGGGGCGCAGGGAGTGCCTCTGGCTGCTGACCTCAAGGTCAGTAGCTGGAACCCACCATCTGCTCCAGGGGAGAAAGATGAGAAGGTCTATTCTCAGCAAGAGTTACAGTCTTGGAAGTCCAAGGGGCAGTTCTACCCTGACCTAGATGTTCTCTGAGTCAAGTGATGAACATCACAGAGAGCAAATCAACACTAAATGTTTAAAAATATTTCATCTTTACTCTAAAATGACATATTCCTGTTACCCTGGTGTTTGAGATAACCGCAAGAATCATATGCCATGAATTCATCCTCCATACTGATGCCTTTTGTTCTTTTTTAATGGAGGAGAGGAAAGAAGAGGCGGCGCGGGTGAGGAGTGGGGTGGGGAGGGTGGAGAGAAAAGTCAACTGCGACTCAGCCGTCAGCTTCTCTGCTCCAGGTCAAAGACAAATTTGAATAAGCAAAACTTATTTTGGACTCAAGTATTCACACGTCAAACTAGCACATTCTATTCCAATGCTGTGATTCAATTTTTAGCAACTTTGACAGAAGGGTAATCTTTCTTAAACATTACAAACTAATAAGCCCTTCATAAGAGCTACTGGCTCCCACACTGAAGCATCAACGAGCCAAGAAAATAAAAAAATCGCAAGAAACAAAAAGTTCACACACTTGAGGATGTGCCTGGCTTGATTGTTGAGAGAGATCGTGCCTACAGGGAGCCTTCAGCTTGGTAGTAAAAAGATTTCCAGAGAAACGACACATGTTTCTCCATCTTTCAAGCAAGAAGAAGAGACACAAGAAATCTGTCAGGTCATTGATAATGCTTGTTTCACAAAATAAAAATCTGTGAAATTAGCAGACTGTAGTTCCCAAAGCCCAAGTTTTCGGCTTCCTCTGGCCAGATTCCTCCTGTTTCAAATGACGCTCTGCACCCGGATATCAGCTCAAGCTTCCCCTCCCAAGTCCAAAACCTTCTGATTTGCATCTATCTCCAATGTTTTTTTCTGGAGTTCCTTCCCTTCTCCATTAAAAAAATAAAATAAATAATGAAACAAAAACCAAGACAGCTCCTATTTATGTAAATTATATATATATAGGAAATTCTTTATCACCACCCCCTATCAACGCTTGGAACAATATCATCACGACCTATCAAACATTGCTTGGTGAGTGGAAAAGAGCTAATAATAGAGAAGAGATGATTGCCCAATGCTTGCCATATTTCAGGTACTTGGCTATGCATTCTACAAGAATTGTTTCATATCTCTTCATAGCAATCTGAATACAGCAATGCTTTCCATAGAGGAAACTCAGGTGCAAGAAGATTTCAAAACTTGCCCAAAGTTATGCAGCTAGCTGATTCAACACCCAATCTTATCCGAAAGCCTTTTGTACTCAGTACTGTTCTTAGAACACAATCACTTTATTTAAGATCACATGATGGTGAACTTATCTCAATACTTATTAGATTACATCTTGCTTGAGGAGCCGACATCTATCCTACAAACCACAATGAAATTCATAGATGTCCAATCAGTTCCAACTCACCATGACCCTACGCGACAGAGCAGAAATGCTCCATAGAGCTTCCACGGCTGGAAGTCTTCATGCCTTTCTCTCGAGGAGCAGATGGAGGGTGTGGGCCTGAACCACGGACCTTCAGTTTAGCAGTGGAGGGGTGTTTAAAAAAAAGTTCGTTGAATAAAAAAGAGGATAATGAAATTTTTCTCTGAATTCTTTGAAGGCCCCTACCATCTATCTGAGCCACTGAGCCACTGTATTATCTGTTGTAGCATGTAACATAATGTCTTACATGCTATTAGGATACCAATAAACACTGAAAACAATTAGTTTCCTAATTGACTGAAGCAGCTGTCAAGCCAATGACCTGCAGAGCCAGGAGCTGTGGTAGGCTGGGGAAAGGTGGGCTGGGGATTATCATTGGACCAGCATGGGACAAATGCAGTGAGATTAAAGGGAGGTAAAGGGTTAATAGCTAGGGAAGTCAGGACGCAGGAGGCACCTGGTGCTAACATGGATCTTGTCTGGACGAAAGGCAGCTGGAAACAGGAAGCTACAGTTTGGAGGCTAGAACCATCCGCCAAGAATCCTACACAGGATATATAAACTTAACTCAATCTGTACGCCACGCCAAACAGACCACCCCGGAGAAGAAACCAAACTGTCTAAATCCCCACCAGAAACCAGCCATCTTCAGTGGGACCACCTAACTTTACAGTTTCCATCAGTCATTCCAGACCCTGAGATGTCACAGAGCAATGCGATTTAAAGGCACACACACAAAAGTGGCATTGCATACAGAGCTATGGCTTAGTCTTCCAAGCCTGTAAAAATAAACAATTTTAACTGCCCCCTCCTTTTCTGAGACCCCATTTTAGAAAGATAGTTACAAGTGTCAGTTTGAGAAACGTGCGGCATGTTCTCATGTCACCAGGGATCAACGCAACTCCATCAGGGCCTACAGAGATGACTTGCTGGGGATTCCTTATTGCCTTGTATTTCTATCATAACCGTACTGGAAAAGAAATTAAAAAATAGTTGGGAAACAGCTGTCTCTAACGGAATCAACTAAGCATGCCAATGGATGGCGACATGCTGTTAGGTACTGTCTAGTCAGTTGCCACTCAGAGCAAGCCTACGTTCAACAGAACACAAAAACCCGGCCTGTGCTGCAATGGGAGAGTGGTGGGGCTTTCTCCTCCCACAGGCTCGGGCCTCCCAGGCAGGTCTACCCCGTCCTATAGGGTCGCCAGAGTCAGCACGGACTCAATGGCAGTGAGCTGTGTGAAGAGGGCCGCACATCCTTATAAGGGTTACATTTGAGCCCATTGTGGCAGCCACTGCGTCAATCTATCTTTGAGGACCCACCTCTTTTTTCCCTGCCCTTCCGCTTTACCAAGTATAATGTCCTCTTCCAGGGACTAGTCTTTCCTGAGAATGTGTCCAAAACATGGGAGACAAGGGAACATGGAAGCAACATAATTAAGAAGCAGCAATGATCATTTAGGCTGGGTTTCCAATGTGTTCTATTTGTGGCTGGTCGTTTACTCCCTGGGAGACAGAGTCCCATGCCTGTAATAGAAACAACTGCTTTCTGAATGTGTTTACAAAAATAGCATGGGGAAAGATGATGAAATTCTGTCAACCATAAAGCACATAGTTTTCCAAATTTCTCCTCTATTCCACCTACACGCTTACTTTTAGTTTTATAAACAATGACAGCAGTCAAAAGAAGTAAGGCTAAGGTACTATCTATATCTTTCAAAGGCAGTGAGGGCGATAGCGATAAGTACCAAAGAAGAGTTGCTGCAAAGTTGGCCATTACACCTGGAGAGCGGACAAACCGACTCTCTGTGGTCTCTCTTTCCCTCACTGCCATCACGTCCGTTCTGACGTGGAGCAGCCCCACGGAGCACAGTAGGATTGCCCCTGTTAGGTTAAGAGACTGGAGTAGACGGTCTCCTCTTTCTTCCACAGAATGACTGGTGTGCTCAGAACTGCTGACCTCGTGATTATGCCTAGCCCAGAGCACCACCAGGGCACGTGCTTGAATGGACTTACAAATGTCTACATTGAAAGGCGGGATCATCACAAGAGAACAGTTTATATCCATAGTAGGTATGCGCGAGATCCAGACACACACACACACACACACACACACACACACACACACACACTGACCTCTCTACCCCTAAGAACATTTTATATCCCATAGTAGGTATGCGTGAGATCCAGGAGCACACATATACATTCTCATTCTCATT